AAATTTGGGGAGAAGCCTCTCCTAAAGAAGCAATAGGGACTAAGCAGTCTCCTATGATACTCCCAGACCAGCCTCTGGGAACAACTGGACAGAGTCCGGCCTAGTCCGTGAGAAGAAAACATCAATAGCAGGGCCTACTGGGTTGGGATCCTGCAACAACCTTCATTAGTATTGCTTTGAGCTGGGCAACCTGATATAGAGCCATCAGTCCTTTGGGCAGTAATAGAGTAGGTTACTTTGGGCCTCCTTGCTTCACAACAATGATTCTGGGCCTTAGTGAGATAAGGCCCCTCATGGGCTTAGGGACATGAAGATAGTCCCAGATGAGGTTGTCCTTCCACTGTTGTCTGGAGCTATTATATCTATGACATCCTGGGGAACGTGGGGGTAATCGCATCCCCACTCCAGGGCCACTTGCTTCTGTATGGCCCTCTAGAACCTCGAGAACCTGAGTTGCTTGTCCTTGTTCCCATTCCTTGATAAATGAAGGGATTTGAGGCCCTGCAAATCAGCTGATTTAACTGAGAGTTCCTGGCTCTGGTTCTAGGCCAGGGTGCAACAAATTTAGGCTTAGGCGGAGGGGGCCTGCAGATGAGCACAGTCCTGCAGGGAGGTCCAGCAGAGTCTGGGGTGCATGAGCTTATTGAGGGCCCTGTCAGCACTCATAATCCTCCGTGGTATCCCCCCAGTCCCACCCTTCCTCAGAATCCTCAGAGAACCAGTCCTCCTGCTCCTCCACTTCAAAGGGCCCAGACATTGCCAAGATTCTAGGGGACCTCCAACCCACCTCCCCACCACTGGCACATCTCCGCTGGCTCACCTGAGGACAGGCTGTCCTTGCTGACTGGTTCCTTCTGGACAGATTATTCAGGGCTGAAGGGTGAGGCTGGCATCTCCAGGACATCAGTTGGCTTGCGCTGGGCAGTGCTGATGGACACCGGCATCTGGGTAGGTCACAGCAGGCCACCCTCTGGTGCTGGGGTCTGCAGAGTGCTGGGGTCTGTTGAGGGTGTGGGGAGCTGCTGTCACAGGACTCTACCCCTCTCTGAAAATTCAAGTGAAACATTCTCCAACCTTCCATTGCTCCGGCTTCTCCATGCACAGTCCTGTATGCAGGTTAGCCATGTATGTACATGGCACCAGATCGCAGCAGCCTGGTCAGTGGCACCTTGCAATGCCTGCACCTGATCCATGCTCCAATAAAGGTGGTCGGTCTCCTGCAATCAGGACATAATAAACACAGCCTCTCCACTCCTTTCACAAGTCTTAGAGCAACACTATGCAGGTCAAGAATGCAGTACTGGCCTACGATGAAAAGCAATATAGCAGAGGGTTTGCTTGCAAGTTCATGCAAGTCTGTGCCAGCTATAGGAGAGGGAATCCCAAATCTAGGTGTGCAGCAAAAAAAAATGTCTGTACCCCTAGAAAGAGCAAACAGACTTGTCCCATGGCTATAAAATCATCCAACTAAGGAGGTGGCTGAATTGATCAGGGAGGTCGAATTAAGTTTTATTTTGCCAGTGTAGGGAAGTGTTGAGCAAAAGCAAGAGAATTTTCCAGGAAAAAGGTTAACTTAGGCAGAATGGTGTGTCCTTTCAAATATCCTTTTATAGAGGATCTGGCGGTATCACTGCTGTTGATCATACCTAAAAAGGAAAGGGGTGAATATTGGTTGATACCGCACTCTTCATACCCAAGGAGCAGATTGGTGAACAAAACAATAGTGGAGGAGGTGTTCCAAGCGCAGTATCTGCTGATTAAAAAAGTCTTGGACTTGGTAAGAAATACAGGCAAGAATATTTACTACATCTATATTTAGGCATCTGCCTTTACACCTAGAAAGCATAAAATTTAAGGACTGCAAACTGGGGGGGGGGGGGGCAATTTCACATGGATTTATGCCTGTATATGGGATGTGCAATATCTTACTATGTTTGAAATAGTGGTACGTAGAAGAAAAAGTGGGGTGGTTAGAGTTAGTTCTCTTACTTAATGATTTTCCACTGATAGGGAAAAGGAGTATTGAGAAATGTGAAATCCTGCTAAGCACTGTGCTGTCTGTTTTCAAGGATTTTAGGTTACTGCTGGTTCCCAAGAAAATTATATATCCCACCATTTGCTTGTCCTACTTGAGGACTGAAATGAACTTGAAGGATATGTGCAAGTTACCAGGGAAGAAAGCAGTGGACCTACTAGCTAAGGTGAGGATAGGAAGATATCGCTAAAAAAAATGCAAAACCTTTTGGGGTCACTCAAAATTGTGAAGAAAAAGCAGGATTGATGAGAAATTTAACTTTACTTGAATTGTTCTCAGTTATTGAGCTTTTGAGCTGTAGAAGGAGTGGTAGGAGAGGTTGAATTCTGGACATACTGTGTAACATGAGTTTCGTGCAAGCCATAAACAATTTGTCATCATGTGTTGAGGTGCATGCAGGCAAATATTACAATTAAAGCTAAACATGTCCTGGGTGACGATATGTCCATAGCAAATGCATTGTCCGGCGGTAGTGAGGATGCATCTAAGATCAGATTGTGACAAAGCACGCAGGTTTAAATCCTATCCTTTTTTTTCGTACACACTCATATAGATTTGGGATTTAATGGCCAGAGGCAGGCCAGTGGAAAAGATGAAGGTGGCCAGAAGAAACATTTTGACTCTTGGCCATACTTGGGCATACTAGAGGGCCAAAATGAGAAGTTGCAGCATTTAACTGAGGTTAGAGCAGGAAATCTTGAAAGGGGTCTGGAATAGAAACAGATGAGCAGACCTATGGGGGAAGCTGTGAGTTGGGGCTTACTGTCTGTAAGCATCTTTGTATGCTTTGTATGCTGGCAGCAATGATCATGAAGTCATTGAACCTGATATTTGGCTAGATGTTAAACAATCCTGGTCTAGGGTCATCAACAGAAAGTCATACAATGCAGCATCATCTATCATAGAGGGGTTTGGGAAGAAAGTGAATGAGACAAGGATTTGCGGATTCCATTATCAAACAGTGGGCAACTGGAAAGAAGTGTCAACATTTTAACAGAGGTCACTATGTGCACTACATGGGCCTGGGCATTTTAACAAGGGATTACAAAAGGTGTTGGAGAAATGGTGAGGTGTGGTCTTCAGTGAGTGGGGTAAACAAAGGATAGGATGATTAGATTCAGGTAAGGGGTACAGAGCCCTACTTTGTTTATGGTGGCAGACCAGGACCATCTCAGAGCTGCAAGTGAGAATGAAGAGATGGGGCTCAGCTGCAGGATGGGGCCCAAGCAGGCTAGGAATACAGTATGTTATGGGAACTCTGGAGACAAGTGCACATGGGCCTCTGTGAAGTCTGAGAGGTTCTAATGGAGGATTCCGTCAGTTATCATTGGGCAGCAAGCAAGGTGCTACAATCTGAGCTAGTGTTCTATTGTGATTTTAATGCTAGTAGTGGTTTTTACATTCAACTGAATGTGTCCAGTAATATTGAAAATGTTTCATAGCTTCTCCAAAGCTTCTTCATAGCTTCAGTTCTAATGAGTGCCAAGAAAATACCTTTATATTACAGTATATGCACACAGGTAGTACTGACACCTTGATCCAATCACCATGAAATGTGTACATGTTGATTGTACAAGAACAGGATGGGTGGTGTAAAGGTTGTGATACCAACCTGCTCCAAATTACATAATCCCATCCTTGGTGGCAAGGGGTATGCATAGGTATTACTGTAATTGTTCTATTGGCATGGCTAAGGGTGTGAACTGTTGTCAAATTGCTGGGGTGGATCAACTGGCACTGTATGTGGAAGCCAGATCATGTTGTAAGCCCCAGCTCAGAGATGGTTGTTCTGGATTTATGTAGATGGCTCCTTTCATGGCTCTTCAGCTTTTCTTCACTTTAGTCAGCATAACTAGCAGGAGGTCAGCAAAGACATTCCTTATATTTCTCTTGTGGCAGGTCTACTTTAAATTGAATAAATGGTAACTGTATGTTTTGCATTACTGATCAGTGCATACATTTGCATGTGAAAAAAAATCACTTGGGAATGATGAATCATCAGAACAATTATTCCTTGCATGGAGCTGCATTCTTTATTGATTTTAGCGAATTAAGGCCAAAATATGTGTTCTCCATGAGAAGCAATGTTTATTTAAAGGGGCTTGCTACTTTGTCCATTGATCTTTTAAACCCACCAAAGAACCTCACGGCAGTTATAATATGAAAGAAAGATAGATTAGATGATAGAGAGATAGATAGAGAGAGAGAGAGAGAGAGAGAGAGAGAGAGAGAGAGAGAGAGAGAGAGAGAGAGAGAGAGAGAGAGAGAGAGATGTGCCAATTACAATTCAGGTTTTTATGTTTTTTTGTTTTTGCATGTGCCTTTTCTCATGCTTACACTACCAGAAGCATAAGCAAGATTATGCTTATGCTTAGTAGATTTAGTAAGCCTCATGGGTTATGAGGCTTATGCACTGTAGTTTTTTAGTGATCTCCTATGGAGCAGTGATCAATAAATACACAACACAATACACTTTAAATAAAATACTGTTTTCACCTTTATCTTTTGAAGCATCTAAGTGCTGCTGATCTGCAGTTTCTTTGCATGCACTCCAGGGATAGCTTCATAGCATTTCCCATGACAGTTTCCTGATGATGACAACAGTGGACCATGCATTCAGCTAATTGTAGTCTTCATCAGATGCCATGACAGGGTGAGAGTTACAGAGAACAACTGTGAGAAAGGCTGGGAGCTCATGGGAAGATTAACAGGTATTCTTTTAATGAAACCTGTAGATTTAAAAATACAGAAAATTACTTTTGAAGCGGTTGCCTTAAAACATGGTATGATTTCCGCATGCCTTAATGTGCTTAAAAGAGAAGTAGGGACAAAGCCCTTTTTTTTGCAATACTTCTCCTGGTAATCACAGGAGTGCACTTCATTCTGTGTCACTCTGTAACCAACATCGCTTAGATGGTCCAGACTGTTGGGAATTCCTGACTGCTACGAGCCTGAGCCAGCCTCTTAGGCCCCCTCAGAGGCGGACTGACCATTTGGAAACTGGGGCACTGCCCGAGGGCCCGGGGTCAGTAGGGGGCCTCATGAGATGCCCCTGGTACCTTTTTCATAGGCTTTTTTAAGTTTGGCCAAGGACACAGGGGCCCCATGATCCCCTATTGCCCAGGGCCTCATGAGTTGTCAGTCCGCCCCTGGGCCCCCTTCAGAGTCCGGCACTCCAGTGAGAGCTGGAGAAGCAGAGCAGAGAGCTGGTGACTGACAGTCACCGGATCTCTGTTCACTGAAGACCAAGAACCGAACAATTAGCAGTCTTTGATCATGTAGAGCCGGTGAGGGATAGATGCAGCACCAATCCCTTACTTCATCCACCTAGGTGAGTATGTGTGTTTGTTTTTTCTCATATCCCACGCTTCTCTTTTAACATACTATTTTTTTCATTGAAGTAGCCCTGGCCTTATGGCACTGTGAAAAAAATCAAGGTACAAGAAGGAAGTCCCCTGTAGGGGGTTGTATTTTCTGTCTCAGCATGGCTGCATTTTCCAATTTTTGTAGATTTTGGCATATTGACATTTTTTCTTTATCGTTAATGCAGTTGGCAGTACTCTTTAGGCAGAATTCACACTGAGTTGCAGTAATATGCAGGGGACATGGATGTATGTTTTCATCCATTTTATGTGCCTTGTAACAGGATTTGATGTGCATATGCATTTGACATGCGTTGACAAATATTTTAATGCATGTTAAAATATTTTGCATTTTGCAGGTTGTCCTGTGATGTGCCATGGGTTAGAGAAGGAGTGAGACTGAACACATTTTCTGTTTTTGAGAGTTATTTGGTAAACAGAATGTCTAGCATATTAGTCATGTCCGGATCTCAGGGAGTGCTGGGGTGGGCTGTGCTCCCCCAGATTTTAGTTGTGCCCCCCAAGTCTCCGGGAGTGTATCCAATAATTCAAGAGCCAGTCTGATGACAACAGTTGATCTAAGGAGGCATTCTGATGGGGACAATCCATGTAAGGGGGCACTCTGATGGGGACACTTTATGTAAGGGGGCAATCTGATGAGGACACTTGATGTAAGGGGGCACTCTGATGGGGATCCTGATGTAAGGGGCACTCTGATGTGGCAACCTTATGAAAGGGGGCACTCTGATGGGGCACTGAGGTAAGGGGCACTCTTATGGGGACAGTGAGGTAAGGGAGCACTCTGATGGGGACCCTGATGTAAGGGGGCACTCTGATGGGGACACTGAGGTAAGGGGGCACTCTTATGGGAACACTGAGGTAAGGGGGCACTCTTATGGGAACACTGAGGTAAGGGGGTACTCTTATGGGGACACCTGATGTAAGGGGGCACTCTGATGGGAACCTGATGTAAAAGGGGACTCTGCTGAGTAGTTATGATGTAAAGAGGGACTCTGATGAGGACTCCTAATGTAAAAGGGGACTATGCTAGGAACATCTGATCTAAGGGGACACATGATCTGTTTAATCACCCTAATCTAATGACAACCTAATACATAATAATGTTTTCCAGGTTGTGACACTGTGTGAAAGACTGTCAGTGACTCACACAGTGTCAGTATTATTTCCTCTGTTTTTTTTTAACTGCACTCCCAGATCAGATAAAATAGGCCAAGCCCTGATATGAGCCCTAACTCAACCTTTACCTAACCTCAACCTAAACAAACATGTACAGCATGTTTCTGCACTGTTGATCAAAAGGCTAAAGCCTTACGAAAACCGGACAAAAAATACTGCTTTCGAGATGATCACCCAATAATCTGATCGTTAATACATAGCTTTCAAGAGCTGATCACGACATTTCATGCGAAAATATCCAAAAGCTACAAGCACAAAAAATATTCTCGTGCGATAACAGAACAAACAATTTTCGTTTAATCAGTGCAGTATTCATCCGTAAAAAAACTGAGGGACCAAGATTGCTTGGAAACAAAAGAATACATTACAATACAAGACAATACAATACATCATTTCTGAAGTTGTGTTCTGTTTTACGAAACATTTGTTACTTTAGTAACCTCTTCATTTTTGATATGAGACTAGCATGCAAGAAAAAAAATGGACAATCATTCATCCGATAGGGTTCATGTACATGGGGCGTTTGGAAAACTCTTCTGAACGATGTAAACTGACTGCTGGAAAACGTAGGTTAAAAAACGCCAGTTTAGCCACGTTTGCATACCACATTTATGCATGTTTGCATTTAGAAGCGTTTTTAAAAGATAACCTCAAAAGACCCTCCTAAATGCCCAAAGTGCACTGAAAAATAGTAAATTCATTAAAAAAGGCTACGAAAATACCGCATTTAATTTTATCAAGTCATGCAGTCTTTTAGTAGTGAAAAGCATGCATCATGGTTCAGCTGTCAGCGGAATTCCCACTGACAGCTGAATATAAAAGAAAGAATTGCCATCAATTAAAAAATAATTTTAAAAAACGGCGTGGGGGGTCCCCCCTCCCATCCATACCAAGCCCTTTGGGTCTGGTATGGATTTTGAGGGGAAGCCCCATGCCAAACTTTAAAAAAAATGGGGTGGAGTTCCCCCCCCAAAATCCATACCTGACACTTATCCGAGCATGCAGCCCCGTAGGTCAGGAAAGGGGGGGGTGAGCGAGAGCGAGAACCCCCCCTGAACCATACCACGCCACATGCCCTCAACATGGGGAGCCCCCCCCCCACAGCACCTTGTCCCCATGTTGATGGGGACAAGGGCCTCTTCCCCACAACCCTGGGCTGTGGTTGTGGGGGTTTGCGGGCGGGGGGCTTATCAGAATCTGGAAGCCCCCGTTAGCAAGGGGGCCCCCAGATCCCACCCCCCCACGTGAATGAGTATGGGGTACATAGTACTGCTACCCATTCACAAAACAAAAAGCTGTAGTGTGAAAAAAGACAGGAGTAATTCTTTGACAAGTCCTTTAGTAAAAGAATGTCCCCCCGAAGTAGATCCAACGTCAATCACGATGTCCACTCCGAGAAAAAAAAAAAACTTTGCTACCGACACTGGCCCCCGGCCATCTGCTCAGAAGCTGGTTTGACAGTTCTTAAATATGTAAGGGGTGGGGCCACCAGGTGACATCACCCATTTGATCCCGCCCCTTGTGTCACCATCGACCGGAGCATGCTGGTCACTGATGTCACACAGGGGCATGATCAAATACGTGATGCCCCATCCTTTACATATTTTAGAACTGTCAAACCAGCTTCTGAGCAGACGGCCGGGGGCCAGGGTCGGTAGCGTACCTTTTTTTTTTTTTGGAGCGGCGGCTGTAGCGGACGTCGTGATTGACGTTGGATCTACTTCGGGGGACATTCTTTTATTAAAGGACTTGTCAAAGAATGACTCCTGTCTTTTTTCACACTACAGCTTTTTTTTTTGTGAATGGGTAGCAGTACTATGCAATTGTCCTTATAATCCCTCTGCTGGTGGTGGTAAAGGATTTTATGTGCCTTGACATGAGCAACAAAGCCATCAATATCAATGAAGCCTGACAAGCTGAATATTCAAAGCAACTGCTCTTCAGTAACTTCTACACACACTCCTCTTCTCCAACTCCCGCTTGTAGGGGACAAAATTACTTTTTCTTTACTTGCGTTGTGCTGTGTCAACATGCATTTTACATGTGTTTACATGTGTTGCGTTGAAATGCATGCATGTTGCATTTTAATGCAACACAGGACAACACAGCATTGTAGTGTGAACAAGACCATGAAAAACAATTGTTTTGTATGTGTCTATGTATTAATCTGCATTTTACAAGCATGCTAAAATGCATATAAATGCATTCGTGTGAATTAGCACTAATACTTTGTTGAGTTCTGAAACAATTCCAACAGTATGGCCAAGGCTAGACTTTTACATTCTGTGCCTCTAGGTTAACTGAACATCCCACCCCAATCCCCCCCACCACACACAGAGACACGCACACACACACACGCACACACACACACGCACACACATTTTTAAGGATAACTTGCAGGGCCAACTGCATAAAAAGTAGTAGAGGCAAAATGTATATTCAATTTTAAAAGTGGATGTTAGTGAATAAAGCGAAGCCATGTTCATTTGGAAAACCCAATCAAGTGTGAACAATTTGTTCTACCTTTCACATGATTGGGTTTACTAAGCTAACCTTATAAAATATCATCTATTTGCAAAGACACCATTACCTTTGCAACATGAACCTGCTACTCAGGGCCGGGACAAAATGTGGGCAGAAGGGACACATGCCCTGGGCGTAGAGGCGCTATGTGGGGAGGGGGCGCTGAGAGCTGATGAGTGCTTTGCTTTCCAGCTACCTGAATGACAGGAGTGATGCTGTTGTCACTCCTGTCAATCAGAACAGAGTACAGTACAGCTGTAATAGCACAGGGCTGTGATAGCTGCTGGAGGGAGGATTTTGCTTCCTTCTTCCTCCAGCTGTGGGCTGGATCTCCTCCCCCAATCTCCTCCAGCGGTTTCAGGCACTATGGTGCAGGACAACCCTGAGGCAGAGCCTCTTTTTTGCTGGCTATTGCTGCGGGTTGAATAGGGATTCAGCCAGCCTCAAAGATCCCATCCGCCTGCCTGGAAGAGGGTGGGTGTGAGTTGAGGTAAGCTTAGCTGGTGGTATTTGAGATAATTGCTGCTGCTCCCTGTCCAACACCAGAGCTCAGGAAGTAGTAGAATGGGACTGGAGCAAGCTGGACTTGAGAAAGGGTTAACATTGCCGTGACCACCAATGCAGTGGGGGATGGGGGTTTACATTTCACTGCCACTGACCATCCTGCATTGGTAGTCAGTGGCAGTGAATGTTAATCCCCCCATCCCCCCTGCCTTGCATTGATCTTCATGGCAGTGAATGTTTAACCCACCACCACCCCTTCTGCATTTGTTATAATGTCAGTAAAATTTAACCTCCTCCCCCCACATTGGTGATCATGGAAGGGGTTAAATTTCAGTGCCACTGAAAACCAGCGTGGGGTGTTAATAATACAGACACCAGTGCTGGTAGTTATTGTGCCCATTGACACCTGTGCAAGGGATTATTATTGCATCCACTGACATCAATGCTAGAAGTTATTATGGTGTCCACTGACAGCTGTGCTGGGAGTTATTGCGTGCAGTGATATCTGTACTGGGGGTTGTTATGACATCCACTCACACCAATGCTGGGGGTTATTACTGTGTGCACCGACATCTGTGCTGGGGGTTATTGCATCCACTGACCCATTGACCATAATGCTGGGGCATGGGCATAGCATCAGGGGTTGCAGAGGTTGTAATTGCGACCCAGCTCCTAGCTCCAGGAGGCCTGCAGCTCCACTCCCTGCTGTCATACTACATTTCCCCCACAAAATCACGGAACTACAGTCTCTCAAGGCCCCAGCCAAGCTCTATAAATCCAGTAACCAGCTTCCAGTTGTTTGCCTTCTCCCCAGTGCACACCCCTCCTCCGCTCTCATTGGCTTGGGAGAAGCCCTGTGTACCCACATTTCCTGTACAGAGTGGAGGATGGAGAGCAGCTTGGAGGAACATGGCAGTGTGTTGACAACAGCGGGGGGGGGGGGGTGAGCTGCCTGTCTGTCATGAGGCAGGAGAGTGCCGGACATGACCAAGAGCAGCCTGAGACTGAGAAGAATGGCAGTGTGCTGAGGCTGAGGAGAGTGACGCCTGAGAACTGGGACTGCTGTAACTGAGCTGAGGTTAAAGACTGCTCCGCTCACTCAGTTAACGAGGATTCTCTGTATCTCCCCACCCTGGGATGATCATAATGGGGGGCTGAGGGGGCGAGGTCACGTCATTACTGGGGGGGGGGAGTTATATCATTGCTAGGATGTGAGGAGGCAAGGTCATGTCATAGCTATATTAGGATGGGGGGGGTGGGGTCATGTCATTACCATGATGAAGGGGGCGAGGTCATGTGATTACTAGGATGGGGGTGAGGTAATGTCATTACTAGAATGGGGGGTGAGCGGACGAGGTCATGTCAGTACTAGGATGGGGGGCCAAGGTCATGTCATTACAAGGATGGAGGGGGGGGGGGCGAGGTCCATGTCATTACTAGGATGGAGGGGGGAGAGGTCATGTCATCACTAGGATGGAGGGGGGCAATTTCATGTCATTACTGGGGGGGCGAGGTCATTTAATTACTAGGATGGAGGGGGGGCCAGGTCATGTCATTACTGGGGGGGGGAGCTTGTGTCATTACTAGGATGGAGGGGGGAGAGGTCATGTCATCACTAGGATGGAGGGGGGGGCAATTTCATGTCATTACTGGGGGGGGCAAAGTCATTTAATTACTAGGATGGAGGGGGGACAAGGTCATGTCATTACTGGGGAGGGGGGGTGAAGTCATGTTATTACTAAGATGGAGGGAGGAGGGGGCGAGGCGAGGTCATGTCATCACTGGGGAGGGGGACGAGGTCATGTCATTACTACGATGGGGGGGCAAGGTCATGTCATTACTGGGGAGCGGGGGCGAGGTCATGTCATTATTATGATGAGGGAGGGGCGAGGTCATGTCATTACTAGGATGGTTTCTACAAAATCTTTTGAATTACTCTCTCAATATGTAAATAAATATCTGAAATAACTCTTTAGCCACTTGGAGTATCTTGGCGCCTAAAAAGAGTATTTTGCCGCGCAGTGGAAGTGTCGAGTGGTAGTGGGGGGCCATAACGTCAACTTTTGCATCGGGGCCCATAAGTTTCAAGCTACGCCTCTGTGTTGGGGGTTATTATTCTGGCCACTTACACCAATGCTGGGGGGTTATTATTGTGTACACTGACTCCAGTGCTGCAGGTTATTAACCGCTTATATATATAGCTGTCGATCACTGGGTCCTGAACAGAGATTCCACGCCGGCACCTGTCGATTGCCGATTAGCACTGACAGGGGTGAGGTCTGTATGTAAACAATACAGATTTTTCCCCTGTCAGCTCCTGCACACTGCTTTGTATGGCTCTGCATAGCAAAGCCATACAAAGCAGCGTGCTTACACAGTAAACCACACACAGCACACATTTAACCCTTTGATCGCCCTGATGTTAACCCCTTCCTGCCTAGTGTCATTAGTACAGGGTCAGTGCTTTTTATTAGCACTGATCACTCTATTAGTGTCACTGGGGATCTCAGTGATAGTTAGTTCCCCCCCAGTGTCAGAATGCCCGCCACAGTCCCACTATAAGTCGCTGATCACCGCCATTACTAGTATTAAAAAAAAAATCCAGTATATATACCGCCATTTGTAGACGGTATAACTTTCATGTATTGTAAACCAATTAAGTTACATGTATTGGTATTTTTCTTAGCAAAAAATGTAGCAGAATACATTTTGGCCTAAATTTATGACAAAATTTGATTTTTAAATTTTTTACTGGAAATGTTTTATAGCAAAAAACTCAAAAATATTGTTTTTTTTTTTTTCAAAATTGTCAGTCTTTTTTGTTTATAGTGCAAAAATTTAAAAAACGCACAGGCGATCAAATACCACCAAAAGAAAGCTCCATTTGTGGGAAAAAAGAGACATAAATTTAATTTGCATGCAACATTGCATGACCGTGCAATTGTCAGTTAAAATGACACAGCGCCGTATCACAAAAAATGGCCTGGTCAGGAAGGGGGGTAAATCCTCTGGAGGGCCAGTGGTTAATGTGTCCACTGACTCCAATGCTGGGGATTATTCTTGCATCCGGGAAGGGGGGGAGGGTGCAATTTGGCATATTCTCCCTGGGCGCTGGTTGACCTTGTCCTGCCACTGCTGCTACTGCTTCAGAAAATCAGCTCCAATAAGTAGTATATATCTGAAGATAGTCTTAGGAGTCTCTGAAAACTGCTAATTATAACTATGGGCAGCACAGTGGCTAAATGGTTAGCACTTCCACCTGGCAGTACTAGGGTCATTGGTTTGAATCCTAACCACAGCACCACCTGCCTGGAGTTTGCATGTTCTCCCTGTGCCTGTGTGGGTTTCCTCACATGCTACTAGATGAATTGGCCCATGTCTAAAATGGCCCTAGTATGTGAATATAAGTTAGGGAGCTTCGATTGTATGCCCCTTGAGGGTTAGGGACTGATGTGAATGTACAATATATATGCAAAGCGCTGCATAAATGGACGGCGCTATATAAGTACCTGAAATAAATAAAAAAATATCACACCCAATGACAATTTTGTGGAATCTCAGCACTGTCGATCTCAGGGTGGCACAGTGGCTTAGCAGTTAGCATGTCTGCCTTGCAGTAAATGGGTCATGGGTTCAATTCCAGACCATGTTGCCTCCTGCATGGAGTTTGCATGTTCTCCCTGTGCTTGCATGGGTTTCCTCCAGGTGCTCCAGTTTCCTCCCACACTCTCCAAAGACATGCTGGTAGGTTAATTGGATCCTGTCTAAATTGGCCCTAATATGTGTATGAATGTAAGTTAGGGACCTTAGATTGTACACCCCTTGAGGGTTAGGGACTGATGTGAATGTACAATATATATGTGTAAAGCACTGCATAAAATTGACAGCACTATATAAGTACCTGAAATAATAATAAATAAATCTCTGGGCTGACATCATCACTGTGTAAGTAGTGAACACACTCTTCCCCAACAAAGACTGATAACAAGCAGTGATCAATCTCACGCTGATCACATGGAAGCGCAGTGGAAATTTGCTCCAAGCTAGCTAGTATCCCAGAGTTAGCTGAGAACTGAATGGGGGCTATGCTGGCACTTTTGTTAATTACGAATTTCAATATTATTACTTAAATTTAAAGAAAGCCTTTTTTATTTATGTGAATTTGATCATCCTTTCGTAAATAAAATTATCACTATGTGTTAATGTCATAAAAAAAACTGTTTCTATTTATAGTTTTTAATTATATATGTACATGGGGGGGCATCTATATTTGCTTACATATACCAGCTGTGCAGATTTATCAGTCTGCTCTGAAGGATGAGCATAATACAGATTCTAGGCAGCTTGCTGTTTTATTATGTTAAGTTATTAGAAGTAAAGTTTAGTTAGTCATAGCTAGGCAGACTTCTCCCTATGAACAGTGGGTGACAAAATATCTGCCTTTGTAGTGCTATGACCTGCTGTTCTTGTGACATGCCCAACAGACTGAAATGGTACATGTAAAGTTAACCGCTCACTTTTCTCTTCTTATGGCCAGGCATGTTGCACAAAAAAAATATTTGAGTGATAAGAAAGACTTTCAGATATGTTCACATGGCTGTCCTTTGTACAATTTTATATTAATATTTTCCATCACCCAGAGGAAAATGGCCACTGATTGTCTGCTTCTAATAGTCCAACAGGGTTGAAAATGCTCCATGTTTCTGGGGAAGGGACCTGTGCTTTATAGTTGCTGGTTTGCAAGGCAGGTATATTGACATGGGGGACCTGCATGCTAACAGATTTGTATTGTTTCATGTTTTCCAATGGCTGGAGGCCAAACTACTTTACCTGGCCCCACAAATGGAAAGATAATGTTTACCTTGCCAGTGACACCTGACCCGGCACAGACTAAGGCTGACCATACATTATACAATTATCTTCCAATTTTCTGCCCAATTTCCTTTAGATTTACCTTCAACTGTGTAGTGCAAGAGCCTGCCTAATTGGATAAAACTGAAAGTGTTGTTTAGGTTTGTCCTCCTATTATATGGTTTTTGGTAAATCTAAACCAAAAATCTCCAGATATTTGTATAATGTATGGCCAGCCTACATCAATATTTCGAGGGAGATGGCATTGAGCTCTGATTTTCCTCTGGCAGCTCTTCTAACACTCTACGCTTTGTTATGTTCAACCTGACGGCAATGAAGGGAGCCATTGCACAAACCTTGCAGGGCCTTCCTCATCATGGTTCCAAGTCCAGTCTTCTCCTCAGAGGGCCATAAGATAGGGACCCTGCAGTTCAGTAGGATGCACCACATGCCCACATACGGAATCTGTGTCACTGGCCTCCACAGCTCCCTCCCGTTAGCTGGCTATAGCCACCCCTCTGTCCAAGGTTTTGCTCAACTCCTCATAAAAATAAATCAGATTTGTTTGACAACTTCTGTCTTTCATGAATCCATGCTGTCTGTTGCTTAAAATATTTTTTTCCAGCAAAAACTCATCTATGTGGTCTTTTATTAAACTCTCTAGTATCTTCCCAACTATAGAAGTTAAACTAACAGGTATATAATTACTTGGTATAGATTTTGACCCCTTTTTAAATATTGGCACCATGTTTGCCTTACACCAATCTAGTACTATGTGCCAGTCATTAAAGAGGCCCTAAAAATTAGAAACAATGGCTTTGAAATGATAGAGAGCTCAATTCTTTAACAAGTTTTGAGTTTTGAATTAGCCAGAAAAGGATTTGAATTGGTCAAAGTGTTTCATCCAGAAAAGGGTTAATGTAAGACATTTTTAAAATCCTAGTGACTATGCCAACTGACCCATTCCCAATACATCTATACATGGAGCAATGGGAATCAGACATAGGCTGTGAACTCTACAATACTACCTTGCAAGCTATTTGGAATAAAGCCAGCAAAAGCTCAGTCTTCTCCCTGTACGAAGAAACCTTCCATAAGATCATACCAAATTGGTATTAAATTCCTGGGCGTTGCCAATCTTTTTGCCCCTTTACCTGTGTTGAAGGTGTGGGAGAGGAAGTAAACACTCTATTTCACCTCTTTTGGACAACATTGTGATATTATGGCACACAGTACAATCGTGGATCTCCAAATTCACAAACAACCCGCTGCCTCATGATCCACTACCTTCTAATTGGATCTCTTCCAAATTTGTCATCTAGAATAAACCAAAGCAGGCCATATTCTGGCCACAGCAAAATGGCTAATTGCAATGCCTTGGTAACATACTTTCCCACCCTCAAAGAGGGAGTTATTTAATCACATTGGGGATGTGCAATCAATGGACCTCTTGTCTGCCAAAACATCATAACACCCTAGACATCTTTGACACTGTATTGGGACTCTGGAGTCTCATTATTATTATTATTATACAGGATTTATATAGCGCCAACAGTCTGCACAGCGCTTTACAAAATGAAGGTAGACATTACAGTTACAATACAATTTGGTACAAGAGGAAACAGGCGGCCCTGCTTGTTAGAGCTTACAATCTAGGAGGAAGGGTTGAATGATACAAAAGATAATAGCTGTGGGGGGATGAGCTGATGGAGGGAAAAAAAAAGGCAGTTTACTAGGCAGAAGCAGGATAGGCTTCTTTAAAGAGAAAGGTTTTCAGGGATCGTCTAAAGGTGGACAGATTAGGAGATAGCCGGACAGATTGGGGTAAACAAGAATTTACATTGTAATATTGTGTAGCCTGTAAGCTCTTTTCATGGTTCGAAGCCTTCCATCCAGGGGCGGACTGACAACACATGGGGCCCCCGGGCGATAGGGGATCATGGGGCCCCTGTGTCCTTGCCCAAACTCAAAAAATCCTATGAAAAAGGTACCAGGGGCATCTCATGGGGCCCCCTACTGACCCGGGCCCTCCGGCAGTCCCCGAGTTTCCAAATGGTCAGTCCACCCCTGCTTCCATCATCCTTTTTTCTAGTTATTATTATTATTATACAGGATTTATATAGCGCCAACAGTTTGCACAGCGTTTTACAATATAAGGGGGACAGTACAATTGCAATACATTTCAGTACAGAAGGAATAGGAGGGCCCTGGTCGTGGAGCTTACAATCTAAATCTAGTTCTTCATTTTCTCTTCTATCCCCAACCTCTTCCCACCCCAACTCACCCATGCCCTTTCCGCACCAAGTGCTGAACTGTTAATTAAGGACATGTGTCTCCTACACCCTCCAGTGTTGAGCAAATGTGAGACTTCCACCCATACAGCTTTACTTACCCTATATCAGCATTTTTCTGCCCTGGGTGGGCACCCAAGGCTCTGCCCCTCATGCCACCACCCTTCCACTTGTATTTTGCTATGTTTTCATGTCTTCTCTTAATTTCCTCTTTTCTTACATTGCCCAATAGTACTAGTACCTATTCTTGGCTATCTAATTTATGTTGCTTCCTACAAATCTTATCCTGCTCTTCTTTTTCTGTAAAATACAGAAAATATCTTAAATAAACAGTTATATAAAAAAGAAAAATTACGCCTTGCATTGATGACTAGTGGAGACACTAGTGGCAAGTGGAAAGAGTGTCCTTCTTACATACAGCTGAAAAGATCATTGGTGTCAGTGGTAGCTTATCTTAAACAGACAGAAATTGCTCATTGCTCAAGGAACCCCGAGCAACCTCTGAAGGGACCCTAGAGTTGCACAGAACCCTGGTTCTATTATTTTATAATATAATTATTATTTTACACTAAACTTTTTACCTGTTATTCATTATTGCACCAATTCATTTTAAAGGAGTGTTACAGTAAAAGAAGAAGAAAAAAAAAGCCCCACTGGAATTAAAGTAGAGTTTCACTCCAAAAAAATCCAACCCATCCTCCCTATCCCCTGTTAACCCAGAAATCCCCCCTCCTGGTACTTACCTCCTTCTCTCCCTAATGATGGAAACATTCTCCAGTGTTTATTTTCCTTAAAGTGTGATTCCAGTCAAATTCTAACTAAGCCTAAACTTTCTCCCATCCCCATTGTAAGACAATTCTCTGTGAAAGATGTCTATACGCAGGGGTGGACTGACAACTCATGGGGCCCTCGGGCAATAGGGGATCATGGGGCCCCTGTGTCCTTTCCCACACTCAAAAAAGCCTATAAAAAAGGTACCAGGGGCATTTCATGGAGCCCCCTACTGACCCCGGGCCCTCAGGCAGTGCCCGAATGGTCAGTCCGCCCCTGTCTATACATACCTATTCTGAAGCCACTCTGGTCCGGTCACATGATCGGGGCCCAGCGCCAGCTTCAGTGTAGAGGAGGGACAGCCAATGACAGATAGTAGTAGCCTATGGGGTCATGTCACTGCCCAGGTTTTGCAGCCATTGTCTCTGCCTTTCCTCTACACTGAAGCCAGAGCTGGGACCCAATTCTTTGACAGGATCGGAGAGGTTCCAGATTAGGTAAATATAGGCATCTGTTCTTTTACAGGGTAGATAGAATGGACTTAGAATGGGGATGGGAGTAGGTTTAAGCATAATTAGAAATTCAGTGGAATTCCACTTTAAAATTTCTTTGGTTGGTGGCACCAGGGCAGTAACTTTTTTTTTTCTTTAATTCTTTTATTATGGCAAAGCTTCTCAGGTATAGACAGTCAATGTGTTATCAAAACTATTCCAAGTTGTCAAAAAATAAAGCCATAATGTAGTTCACATTCAACAAGTAGTAATGACACGTAAGAGGTGTGCCAGTGTTAAATTTTACTCTCTGCCTCCATGCCGCTTTGCATAGATTATGTAGCACTACATAATCACAACCGGACGCACTTCCGGTTGCCTGTTCCGGCGTCTGACGTCATTTCCGGTGAGTGGAACGCACGCCGAGCGGTGCGTTCCAAGGGGCCATTTTTGAATAGTGAATGAGTCTGCATCTGAGGTCTGCCATCCTGCTGTATACTAGGCTGTGGGGTCTTTTATGCAAGAGTCGCTGTACATGGAAAGAAGATCGGTTTTAAAGAAAGATCGTTGTTGTTTCAAATAAAATGCGGGTTATATCCTGCTAAAATGTGAGTGGTCTGGAGAGATTTTTTTGATGAGAAATCACTACGGTATTACGCTATGGTTTTTTCTTCTTCCTGATTTTCCTTGGGGGATTCGGTGAGAGGAGTAACCAGAAGAGGTACCCAGATCTGAAAGGAGGTATTTATTTGGAGGTCCTATATAAAGTAAAGGGGGTCCAGGAGCCCTTAATATTCCTGAAAGGCGTGTGACTCACTAATATCTGGTGAGTGCGGTTAATGTTGGTTTTTGCACTGGTGGATGGTGAAGGGATCAAAAGCACGGAAGAATCCAATGAAAATTACAGTATAATTACAATTTTTGTCACGGGACTGTTATTTTGGGATTTTTTTTTTTTTTTTTTTTTTTGTCACTGGACTTATTAATTCAATAATTATTTATTTATTTATTTATGTATTTATTTATATATATATATATATATTTTTATAATTTCATTAGCATATAAGTGGTCACGTTTTTTTTAGGTTGTCTAATAGGTTGGGTGATGCAATTTATTATGTGGGTTTGCGCTGTTTGTAAGTATGTTTCACTTTTTTAGATTGACTCTAGAACTCACAAATCTGAAGAGAAGTTGTGTGTGCAGCTGTATGTCATTGCTAGTGCCTAATGGATAGGTATAAGTCCATGCAGATCTCCGTGAGACTGCATTGTGTGGCTGCAAGCTCATGCTCCCTGTAGTTGCTGCAGTTGGTTGATAGAGAATGAGATGACCAATCTGATTGCATGCACTTTAGTATTACTGTGTGTAAGGTACTGTATCTGCCATAGGCAGAGACAAATTTAAATGCCAGATTCATTGTTCTTGGATCCTCTCAACAGGAGACAATTACCATGCTGATTTGTCTCTTGAAAGAGCCCTGAAGTCCTTTTGGGAACTGATGACCCTTATTTGCACCCCTCAGCTCATTTTGCAGTTCCAATTTGAAACAGAGGAGCATCAGATGGAAAAAGAGCACCAGGCAAAGACTGAACAAACTGAGAGAAAGCAAAAACTGGAGATGGCCAGACTCCAGTTCAAGATTACCTTGTTACTGCCATCTGCATTGGGGCCTACACCTGTGGAAACCTGGACTTATGCCACCTGTAATCAAGTTCAGCATGTTGCAGGCCATTGTCTGAAAAGGATGAGGCCCAGCCCACCAGCTAATGTGACATGTGCAGGGGCGGACTGACCATTGGGAGGGCCCGGGGTCAGTAAGGGGTCCCATGAGATGCCCCTGGTACCTTTCATAAGCTTTTTTAGGTAAGGTTTGAGTGTGGGCGAGGACACAAGGGCCCCATGATCTTCTATTGCCTAGAGGCCCCATGCGTTGTCAGTCCGCCCCTGGACATGTTTGTTAGGGAAAAAGTGGAAGGCCGAGTGGATGCCCTGCAGCCAGTTACTGTGGGTAACATTGTTACCAAGATTCGGGATCAGAGAATATTTTAACTTGTCCAGGCTTGAGGAGCTGTGAAGATGTGATACCAGCGGAAGCCACGTTTTCTCACAGGGTATAACCTATTGTGTTTTTTTGAACCAGAAATCTAGAAGCAAATTGAGAGAAGTAGGGATAATAGATTCCACCAATATATTGCCATGTACTGAGCTAGGCAGCTCAGTACATGTAAGAGGCCTACCCTGGGGTGGGACTCTTGGACAGAGTCACTTGCCTTACACATGATGTACCTTTACTGTGCCATGTTCATCAAAGCCCCAGAACATGGCAGGAAGTCACTTTCAAGGATAACTCAATCTTAAGGCAGACCCCCAACTCAGAGATAGCCGTACATCGTGTACACTTGAACAGATAAACTGAACTTCAGTTAACTGTCTTTAGCCCTGTGTCAATGTACACCACCAATGTCACGTGTTGCATTTAGCAGAGATACGCGGAGCCAATGCCTGCTTCACCTGTCAAGCGCATTTCTGCTGCCTCACTACCAGTAATGGAATGGAATCCCACCGTGCACCATGGTCTCCATGCATGCACTACGTTAACTCTTCCTCTTCCATAACCTAGTGACCAGGTCGGTAACCTCTGCAGCGATGATCCACTCCCATTGCTATAGGAGACAGGCCACCAGGGGAGATAATGCTGATAACAGCCTCCTCGCTGTGAGAGGACATCCTGCCTGTCACAGTTGTACACTTCATGACAGGCTGCTTGTACTGCTGTAGACTTCTGTTACCCCGGTAACCATTTGCTGCTTTCTGTACTGCATCAACTCTTGTACTGTTGTCTTCATACCCCATTGTGTTTTACTGACAGATGACAAGCTGCAGATGACTAGCTGTGATGTGCCGGTTACATTCATACAGCCCTTGAATAATTGCAGACCAGGCACAGCAGAGTTTCAAAGGCTTTACTTACAAATCTCAAGATAACAATTCTGCAAAAGCATACTGTCTTTTCCAAATCTACCTTAATTATAGCTGCAGCTGCCCCAGCATACCTGAACAGGTGAAGACTCCATTCATGGCACAGTCCATTTAAGTAGTTCCCCAGCAGCTGGTGTCTTCATGGTGGACTGTGGGTCCCAACAGTCCCCCTACATGCAGAAGGCTTTGGATGCAGATCTCTGGTAGTCTGGAATGGGTCCAAGCAGGTGTCAGAATGTAGGAACTTCAGCGTGCTCTGATCTGGACAAATGTCTCTTTTATATCAACACAGGGCCAGCTGGTCGGGCCCAGAAAGCCCGTGAAGACAGACCTGGGAAGAGTGCCATAAGGCATTAACCCCACTCCTCTCAGTCCAGGGCAGCAATTTGCTAACTGCCAGTAGTAAACCTGCCTACACAATGACCACCAATGAGAGGGGATACTACAAATTTCAGTTTGTGTTATATGCCATTATTATTTGTTTCATTTATTACTGTGTAGAGGAGGGGAGTGATGTAAAACAATTATTTATTTATTTATTTCAGGTACTTATACAGCGCCGTCAATTTGCGCAGCTCCTTACATATATATTGTACATTCACATCAGTCCCTAACCCTCAAGGGGTGTACAGTCTAAGGTCCTTAACTTACATTCATACATACACATACTAGGGCCAATGTAGACAGGAGCCAATTAACCTGCCAGCATGTCTTTGGAGTGTGGGAGGAAACCAGAGTACCTGGAGGAAACCCACAAACACAATTAAATCAAATATCTAGTTATACCATTTTCTTTGTTCCCCTATTTAAAACATTCCACATCTCACTGATCATGCTAATGTACCAGAACCTGTAGATATAATAATTTTTAATAACAAGGGATCCCTGGGACCTTATTATTATTTCAAAGGTCCGTCCATGTTAAAAAGGCTGAGTTAGTTTGATCTTCCTAAACATTTTAGCTATACAGTTTGAAGGCAAGGCTAACAGTTCAATTTGTGCACCTTCACGGTGAGGGGTCATTTAGGCATGAGGCTATGCGACTCCAGCCCAATTATCCCAGAATTACTTTAGACTCTTCGTCTCCATCTTAATTAGCCTGAAATGAGATGTATTTCAATGTTCATGCAAAATAAGAAGATTAAACAATGTTATTCAATTGGAACAGATGATTGCAGGTGAATGGTTTACATTGGTGCGTGGAGAAGATGACTACCCTTAGAACATTCACCTGCGATGATCTGTTCTGATTCAACAACATCTGCCTATTTTGCACAACTATACTTGCCTGTGTTGAGCTACCCATACATCTGAGGAGCGTTACACTGGTGAATAGTACTGGGATTGATGTAGAGAGTTGCCATAAAGGTTAAGCATATAGAGCACTTATTAGAACCCAATAAGGAGTACACCCCTCACATTTTTTAAAATATTTTATTATATTTTTTCATGTGACAACACTGAAGAAATGACACTTTGCTATAATGTAAAGTAGTGAGTGTACAGCTTGTATAACAGTGTTAATTTGCTGTCCCCTTAAAATAACTCAACACAAAGCCATTAATGTCTAAACCGTTGGCAACAAAAGTGAGTACACCCCTAAGTGACAATGTCCAAATTGAGCCCAATTAGCCATTTTCCCTCCCCGGTGTCATGTGACTCAACTCGTTAGTGTTACAAGGTCTCAGGTGTGAATGGGGAGCAGGTGTGTTAAATTTGGTGTTATCACTCTCACTCTCTCATACTGGTCACTGGAAGTTCAACATGGCACCTCATGGCAAAGAACTCTCTGAGGATCTGAAAAAAAGAATTGTTGCTCTACATAAAGATAGCCTAGGCCAGGGGTGGGCAACTGTGGCCCTCCAGCTGTTGGTGAACTACAAGTCTCATCATGCCTCTGCCTTTGGGAGTCATGCTTGTAACTGTCAGTTTTGCAATGCCTCATCGGACTTGTAGTTCTACAACAGCTGGAGGGCCACAGTTGCCCACCCCTGGCCTAGGCTATAAGAAGATTGCCAAGATCCTGAAACTGAGCTGCAACACGGTGGCCAAGACTATACAGCGGTTTAACAGGACAAGGTTCCACTCAGAATAGGTCTCGCCATGGTTGATCAAAGAAGTTGAGTGCACATGCTCAGCGTCATATCCAGAGGTTGTCTTTGGGAAACAGACAAATGCAGGGGCGGACTGACAACTCATGGGGGCCCCCGGGCAGTAGGGGATCATGGGGCCCCTGTGTCCTTGCCCAAATGCAAAAAAAAGCCAATGAAAAAGGTACCAGGGGCATCTCATGGGGCCCCCTACTGACCCCGGGCCCTCGGACAGTGCCCGAGTTTCCAAATGGTCTGTCCGCCCTGGACATATGAGTGCTGCTGGCATTGCTGCAGAGGTTGAAGGGTGGAGAGTTAGCCTTTCAGTTCTCAGACCATACACTGCACACTGCATCAAATTGGTCTGCATGGCTGTCGTCCGAGAAGGAAGCCTCTGCTAAAGATGATGCACAAGAAAGCCCGCAAACAGTTTGCTGAAGACAATCAGACTAAGGACATGGATTACTGGAACCATGTCCTGTGGTCTGATGAGACCAAGATAAACGTATTTGGTTCAGATGGTGTCAAGGGTGTGTGGCTGCAACCTGTGAGGAGTATAAAGACAAGTGTGTCTTGCCTACAGTCAAACATGGTGGTGGGAGTGTCGTGGTCTGGGGCTGCATGAGTGCTGCCGACACACGGGAGCTACAGTTCATCAGGGAACCATGAATGCCAACATGTACTGTGACATACTGAAGCAGGGCATGAATCCCATCCCTTCGGAGACTGGACCGCAGGGCAGTATTTCAACATGATAACGATCCGAAACACACCTCCAAGAGGACCACTGCCTTGCTATAGAAGCTGAGGGTAAAGGTGATGGACTGGCCAAGCATGTGTCCAGATCTAAACCCTATTGAGCATCTGTGGAAGGTGGAGGAGCACTAGGTCTCTAACATCCACCAGCTCCGTGATGTCGTCATGGAGGAGTGGAAGAGAACTCCAGTGGCAACCTGTGAAGCTCTGGTGAACTCCATGCCCAAGAGGGTTAAGGCAGTGCTGGGAAAATAATGGTGGCCACACAAAATATTGACACTTTGGCCCCAATTTGGACGTTTTCACTTAGGGGTGTACTCACTTTTGTTGCCAGCGGTTTAGACATTAATGTGTTGAGTTATATATACCGCCATTTGTAAACGCTATAACTTTCATGTAAACCAATTCATTTTTTTTAGCAAAGACATGTAGCAGAATACATTTTGGCCTAAATGTATGACAAAACTAGATTTTTTTAAATTTTTTTTACTGGACATGTTAAATAGCAAAAAGGCAAAAATATAGTTTTTTTTTTCAAAACTGTCAGTCTGTTTTTGTTTAAAGCACAAAAAATAAAAGACACACAGGCGATCAAATACCACCAAAAGAAAGCTCTATTTGTGGGGAAAAAAATACCATAAATTTAATTTGGGTGCAGCATCGCATGACTGCGCAGTTGTCAGGTAAAGTAGCGCAGTGCGGGGGGGGCATGTCCAAAATGGCGCTCTGTGCCTCTCTGCTTTTATCCACAGACATCCTGGGGATAGTCGGCTCCCACCTGCACCAGAGGCCCCGCTGACCTGCTGCCTGGAGGGGGGGGGTTCGAGCTGGTCTGATCCACCTCCATAGTGCTGGACGTCCACGACCTACAGTGGCCTGCTGCGACCTCCACGCGATTTAGACCCGACCTGTGGCTTTTCCTGGGTGCCACTGTCCTGCTTCCTGGAGCCCGGTGTGGTAAGCCGCCTGGGGGAGGTCCCTACCAGCCACCTGGCCCTTAATCTGATCCTGGGATCCGAGGCCTGCTGAGGCCTGAATACCTGAGGAGCCTGTGCACCCATCCTTGGGCTGGCGCGGCTTCTACTACGCCTAGGCCCTGAAAAGGGATATCTGCAACCTGGGGGGGAACATCTGAGCAGTCTATACACCCCCCCCCCCCAAGATCTGTCATCCTACGCTGCACAGCGCCCTAGGTGCGCCCCACCTGGCTCCTCTGCTGATCTTGGGATCCTGCAGTGGCCCGTGCCTGTGTGGTCTGGGCCTCCGTCCTTAGTGAGAGGCTCCAACTCTACTCGTGGCCCTTATCTACCTTCCCCCCCTTGGTTATTTTTTTTTGGGAGTTTCTAGTTTTTTTACACTTTTACAAGGTACATTTACTAGCTCATGTGGTTCAGTTTATGTATGGTGTCATGCTGATATATTGGTTCTTCTAATGCATATCTTACAGTTTTGTGTTTTCTTCTCAGGATTCAGCCTGGGTGGTCGCAACTCTCTTTTTAAACACCTACTTTATGGCGCCCCCTGATCTGAAGTGTATCTCCTGGAATGTGTGGGGCCTCAACTCCCCCGTGAAGCATTCCTTGGTCTTCCAATTTCTCAAATCCTATAGTCAACACATTTGTATTTTACAAGTAACCCACTTCACGGGCCGTAGAGTGCTAGGCTTGAAGAAAGCTTGGGTTGGTCACTACTACAATGCCACATATTCTTCCTATGCCTGAGGAGTTAGTGTCCTTATTCACAAATCATTGCCATTCACTCTCCTCCATCTCAGGCTGGATCCCAAGGGCAATTAGGTTATTATTCATGCGATGATCAACTGCTTTGAAATGGTAATTATTGGCCTATATCTTCCGCTTCCTGCTTCCACACATTTGCTGGCTGCTTTGGCCTCATATCCCACACCTCATGTTCTTCTTGCTGGCGATTTTATCCTTACTCCAGATCCTAATGTAGACAAATTATATCCTGAAGCCAGCGGGGAGTCGGAGTTGGCCAAGTGGGCCAGGCTTTACCTGTTCACGGACATGTGGAGGTGGAAAAATCCTGAGACCAAGGCCTGTAGCCACTCTGCAACACATAGAATGATGTCTAGAATTGATCTTTGCTATGTTACATCTCCACTCTTAGCGAGGGTTCGGGAGATCTCCATCCTTCCACGAGGGATATCTGATCATGCTCCACTTCTCCTTAGCTTGAGTATCTCAGATGCCCTGGGGGAAAGATCTGGAAACTATCTCAGTATTGGATTACTGACCCTGAGGTAGAACCCCCTATGGGACAGGCACTGGAGCAATACTGGGTCTCTAATGAGGATACTGCTACGTCTACTACTACTTGGGAGGCTTGTAAGGCTACCCTTAGAGGACAGTACCATACGCTGATTGGGGGATTACAGGTTAGACGACGGTTGGGGGTGGAATTGGTAGACCGGAGGGTGCAGGGATCTGAATCCAATTATGTGACCAATTCGGATCCTGTTACTCACCACAACTTACAACTGGCTGTTAGGGAGGCTTTATTGTTACACACGGAGGCCTCCAGGAAGGTGATGCTCCATCAAATACAGCGTATTTTCGAACAGGGGGATAAAGCGGGATGCCTTCTGGCTTGGCTGGCTAGAGAACAAACTGCCTTGATTACTGTGGCCTTATACAGGCTGAGGATGGTTCTAAGATCCTTGATCCAGTCCTAATCAACCGTCGTTTTGCCGACTACTATGCAAAATTGTATTCCTCCAAAGATGCCTACACACCACAGGACTTGTCCTACTATCTGGATCATGTTGAACTGCTGTCTCTCTCCCCAACTCAGAGGGGACAATTGGAGGCTCCAGTCTCCTTGGAGGAGATCCAACAGGCAATTGGCACTATCCAATCTGGGAAAACATCAGGCCCGGATGGCTTTCCAATTGCATTCTATAAAACATATATTGAACAACTGGCTCCCCGCTTCCAAACACTTTTTAATGGACTGCTTGAGAGGGGAAACTTGCTCCCTTCTATGCTCCAAGTGGTGATAGTGGTGATTTTAAAGCCTGGGAAGGACCCGACTCAATGCTCCTCTTATCGGCCGATCTCCCTGTTGAACACTGATGTGAAAGTACTCGCTCAAGTGCTTGCCGGGAGGTTGCGCTCAGTTATCTCTACATTAGTGCACAATGATCAAACGGGCTTTATGCCGGGTAAAGGCACTGACATTATTAACATATGGAAACTATTCACCCACATTTCTATGGCTCAGGACATCGATGACCCGGGTGTGGTGCTATCCATGGACTTCGAAAAGGCCTTCCATTCAGTTGAATGGGAATATCCATGGGAGACCCCAAGATGTTTCAGATTTGGCCCTAATTTTATTTCATGGGTCCGATGCCTGTACAGTGCGCTGTTCGTGAGAGTACGTACTAACAATATTCTTTCTCCCCCATTTGCATTCCATAGGGGCACTCAGCAGAGCCTGTTTGCCCTGGTGATCGAGCCCTTGGCTTGCTTGATCTGTTCCTGTTCCAAAACCTTGCATGGGCTACTGGTGGGCGACTGGGAGGATAGAGTTTCCCTGTATGCAGATGACACTATCTTGTATCTGAAGGACTGCAATTCATCTCCTAGAGTGGCACTGGACCTTATCGATCGCTTTGGCAGTAATTCCGGATACGCATAAATTGAGAGAAGTCAATATTATTTCCTCTTGCGCCAGGACCTTTGCCTGACATTACATTTGCCCCTATTCGATCGGTTTCCAAATACTTGGGTGTACTGGTGCAGCGAGACCTGACAAAATACTGACCGAAGTCCAACCTGGCCATCACTACTCCCATGCTGACGACCCTGAAGGTGTGGAGACAGGCTAGGAATCAGTACAGTGTAAATAACACCTGCTCCCATCACACGCTTCTCTGGGGCAATCCTGCATTCCCTCATCTGCACACAATACCGGATCCTATGGTGTGGGCTCGGTATGGAATCAAAACGTTGAGCCATATTACGCCTAGTGGTGTCCTGCTCTCTTTTGATGAACTCAAACATAACCTTGGCTTGCCTAACCTAATGTTTTTCCAGTTTCTACAATTGCAACATGCTGTGGCAGCCCAATTTCCTTCCCCCTGACATACAGACTGACCCTCTAGAAAACTTGTTGTTAACAGACGACTTGCCTAAACCTTAATCCTCTCTCCATTCCTTGTTGCTATCCCTAGAATGCAGTCGCTTTACAGTAAATGGCATGCAGACCATCCGTCCCTGTTGGAGGATGATTGGGAGGATTGTCTTTTACAATACTTCCCTACCATGACCTCAGCCAGGGACCAGTTTGTACAACTAAAATGTATCTATAGAGTATATTATACCCCGCTGCGACTGGCTGCGATATATCCTGGTAGATCGTCAACGTGTCCTCGCTGTGATATGGCGGGAGGCACGTTTTTACTGTGGGTAAACTGTCCATTCTCATGGATCCGCTGATTATGTTGTTAGGCCTCGTTGACCTTGTGGAATCATCTAAACATA